AGGGGGGTTGGACTAGATGACCCACAGAGGTCCCTTCCAACCCCTACTAGTCTGTGATTCTGTGATTCTGTGATTAGCTTGTGGTCCCTGTTAGCTGTCCATGGCTCAAAGACAGAACTGAGAACTTATGTTATAACTATACTCATGTTTACCCAGGCTATATGTCATTCGTAAGCAGCATATGACCCAGAATAAAGTTTATCAGACTGTGACACACATATTCATTGCCATTGGTGGTCTCCAGTTCAAAATACATTGGTGCATCTTTCCTACTTTCCTGTGTTTGCATTGGTATAGTCAGGTGTTTGTGATAATATATGTTTTCCACAGATGTGATTCTACAGATTTTCTTTCACGCGATTGCATTTATTACACCCAAATTGACCACTGGTCTCTATAGTTCTATGGAGATGATATTAGCAGTGAGGATGTGAAAATTCGTTTGACTATGCACAATTTAATGTAGTGCTAGAAGTTCTTACGTCTTTGCAGAGAAAGAAAAATCCATGACCTTTCTGAAGTATGTGATATAGCATTCAATTTCCCTGCATCTGATCGATAAGCAAGAAGGAAATTATATCTTTTGCCATGGTAGACAAGCATAATTAAGCAATAAGGCAATGAAGGTAGTGGTGATTATCTTAGGATGCACCTGGGAGCTGCCTTGTTGCTATTTTAAACATCTTTATGCTAAGGGAACTGTATTAATTTCTGCTGAGAAAGATAAAGTTGGCAGTTTGGAATGCTCATGAGCAGCAGTTTCAATTCAGCTTCACAGAGAGTAATGTGGTGTGTTCACCTGAAACAATTAGGCTTCTCCTTCAACAGAAGCAAAGGTGGAGCAGGCTGTAAACATTTAGCTCACAGTTCAGACACCACCCCACCCCAAAAAACACCCCCAACCAAAAAAAACAATTATGCTTTGGCTGGCTGCCAGTGAGTGCAAAACTTACATTTTTGCCAGTTTAGAATAAAAAAATGTTGCCCCCAACACTTGACTTCCAGGGAAAGCATCTCTGCATAATTAATGCTATTGCATCCACATTCTAATTTATGCATTTTAATTATACCAAAGGCCCAGTGAATAATTAATGCTAGCAAAACAATGGGTCTGAAGCATAAGCTGAAAAGTATCACTTTTTAATGGGCTTTGTAGATTTAAATAGCTAATGAAAGCTATTTAACTATTTGATTGCAAGAATATTTCCCCCTGATGCAATCAAGTATTAACTGCCTTTATTGAGCAGCTTCGCAAGTGGAGAAATGTTAGCTCAGGCTACCTGTTTTCACATTTGGCCAATCAGAGTACACCACAGTACACTAACCCACCTGAGCCATGTGCATGTAGGAAAGATTTATTTGGATGTTAGCCCTGTGGGAGGGACTTACATGTCATTGGCATCATCTATAAGATGTAAAATCATAATTCCGGCTACAAAATTCCTCTTTGACCTCCTGTCTTCAAGCAGGTCAGTTCATGCAAGTTTCACAGGGAGATTTAGAATTGAATACAGAGAAATACAATATAGAATTCATTATCCCTGAGTTCAGCTACCTAAGAACTAAGGATGTAGGCCAGGTTAGTAATTTTGAGCCTTGCAGTGGTCGACAGAGAGAGATAGCATCTCTGGAGAATTTCATCTCATCCTAAAATAGGTTTTTGAAATAGATGGGATTAATCACCATTTGGCAGCGGCTATCATTTTTCTGTTTTTACAGAAGAAGCTTAGGACACTGCCTTAGACCATACACCTAACTTCTAGACAGTCTAGTTTAGGTGAAGTTAATTTCACTAGCAACAACAGCCTCTAAACTACTGTGTGAGAAAGACCTACTGTCACCAACCTGATGGCATAAAGGCTGGGGCAGAGCAGAAGAACTCACAGCACAGAGCTCTCCAAAGCTCAGTGCGTTACATTGGCAACCAGCACCCCTGCTGCTTGATCAAGTCTCAGACTCCAAACATGTGATGCTCATCAAGCAAGCCCTTCCCCCTCTGAAAGGCTCAGAATGTGCATTCCTGTTGATCTGCTGTGCCCAAAGGCTTGGCTCCTCTCTGTCGTGGTCCTTGGAGCAACACTGGGCAGTGTGATGTGTGAAGGGCAGGGTGTCCCAGGTGGGCAGTATGTCCTGGGTTTGGTGTACTCTGAGTTTGTCGTGCAAATGGTGGTGAAGGCATGTAGACAGCAGACAGCACTGACTGCATAGCATGGAAAGCCTGGTGGCAGAAAGTACCTGTTTCTTTAGGTGAGTAAAATGATACAGCAAATGATGAATTACTGCAATCCCTGGTAATATATTACATGCACTCAAGTAATAATCAACTTGTTGATAGGAATATAAAATAAATCACTTTCACCAACTTTTTTGTTCATGTTTTCCATGTCAGAACTTTGCTCTTTAAACTGTAATGAAAAATGTTTAAGAAAGTGTCATAATAATAACAATATAATGAAGACCTTTTAAAAAAAAGAAGGTTGGTAAAGGCTGCTGCCAATTTTGAATATCAGGCCCCTTATTTAAGTGCAGTATTTGGAGCCCAGTAACTTTTGGCTCCTATGATTTGTTTTCTCTTTTTATCTAATACTATATATTGAAATAAAAGTACTTGACTCTTCAGAGCACCCACCTGAGTCGCTACAGAGACATGGAGGGGGACTATGTAGGAACCAGTTGTGTTTTCCCTGTTTTCAGCTGTTTACGTGAGCAACGACACGAGCTACTGCTCTTGTCAGTGGTTGTGGTCTGTCTCGGGCAGGTGACATCTACATTTGGTTTGGGTGGCCTGGATGGTGTGACCCTCATGCAGATGTGGGGAAGGGAGAGGGCGGCACAGAAAAGGCTCTTCCTGAGGTGGCTCTTCTCCAGGGAAATCTCAGTCAGCCATAGCCAGCTGCTGCTTGGTCTTGCTAAATATTTCACAGAAAATAGAAAGCAAAGCACAAAGGAAAATCTGCCTTAGTATCAGACTAAAACCAGTTTCTTTCTTCTGAGCAACAGTACCTGAAAGAGCAGATATGCGTTCGTGCAAACTGGGAGTGCTGTAAAGGTTAACAGACCAACACTGGTGGCTTGTGTGTTTTTCACTGCTCAGCTCTCCTGCCCAGGAGCTAGGCAGTGTCCTGATGGTATTTTTCTGCATCCCATTCTCCTCTATTTTTCTTACTGCAGTACCTAAAATAAGTAGTAAGAATAATTATTCAAGAAACACAATTCTTTTATTAAATCCAATTTAAGACCAACACCTCCTTAGTGTGTACAGGATGGAGCCTGGTGATCTAGCAGTCCTGGTCAGTCTAGTGTTTTTAATGTGGATGAGACAAAAATGGCTGCTGAAACATGAGCTCGCTGTCTCTAGCAAAGTGTCTCCCTCTGCTCCTGCCTTTACAGGACTATGCTGAGAAGGAGAAAGCTGCAGCCAAGGCTCTGGAGGATGTGAAGGCTAACTTCTACTGTGAGCTATGTGACAAGCAGTACCACAAACACCAGGAATTTGACAACCACATCAATTCTTACGACCACGCTCACAAGCAGGTAAAGCTGACAAATGTCCGTGCATGTTACAGCAGTCCATCTTCCTTCCCCATTGATTGTGGGAGATTTCTAAATTCACTCAAGCAGAAGACAATTCATAATTTGATGTTTTCAACTTTAACAAGCTATTTTTCATTAAAATGAAATGTGAAATATTCATATTTTTGATCTTCACCACAATTTCTTTTAAGCCTCTCTGACTGAAAAATCTCCATCTATAGCTTTAGATAGGTGCTCAATACCAATATCCACACTGAACTCGATATATTTAAATGAGGAATTACTTATAAACTAGAGGGAGGGGGAAGGATCACTTTCTTAAATATCCAGGTCCCTCTTTTGGATGCAGCAGGCAGGTGATCATGCTGCTTCAAGCTGGTCATGCTGTGTCAAGGGCAGAAAAGCAGTTTATTTTTTTAAAGAACCATGTGTTTCTGTCTCATGATGTTTCTCAAGGTGGAATACATTTTGCCTTGAATAAAAAATATAATTAATCTAAAATAATGGCTGCTTTTGAACAACAAGATATTGGATTCTTGGGAAGAGACGATAGACGCTAATTGTTTGTCATTGGTTTTGTATCAGCTTTATCAGATCTATATGTGGTAGGTATATTCTACCCATATATACCTATTATCCTTCTCTGTCTGCTTGCTGCATCCTAGTTTTTCTCCAATTTGTAGCAAAACCTGTATTTCAGTTGGCATTATGAAAAGAAAATGCAATTCACTACATAAACACTTCAGAATTTGAAGAAAATTGTTTGCAAAGCTCCAGAATGAGCATTTCTGAACCTCTGATGAGCAGATCATATCTGTTACTCTGAGATGTAAGAATATGTAACAGGATTCCACAGATGTATGTTTTTCCCCTGTTTTTTCTACTAGCACTTACATGCACTACACAGTTCAAGTTCTCATGTATTGTGTGCATTCAGGTTGCCGGGGTATTAGTGTCTTCTGGGTGATCACACTTCTGGGTGCATGGGGGTCAGGAGCTACCTTGCAAATATATGAATCATTTAGAAGATGCCAGTATTTTTGACAGAGGACTAGAAATAATAAATGTTGAGTAAAACAAACAGTGCTAAAGATAGAACTCCTCACTCCCACTGCAAGCAATCTTATTGTCTTTTGCTGTATTATAGAGGATGTTAATCAGCCTGGAATTTTCTGTGTTCATTTATCATGGCACTGCATTAAAAAACTGCCTAGTGTCTGCCCACCCATCATGCTGAACCATCCTGCTCAATTCCAGCAGCCCAGAGTCAGCTGTTCATGGGTAATTATGGGACTGGTTTGGCCCATCACTTCCAAATCAGAGCTAGATTCATCTAATGTATCTATGTATTAAATCAAAAGCAGCTCCTCACATGATCATTCCATTAATTAATCCATAAAAATGTTTATAATAATACAAAACAAATGCCTTTCCAGATCCTAAACATGTGACTCTAATCCCTATAAATCCCCATTTGCTGCACAAATATTTTCTTTCACATTTCAGCTTTTTTTTATATGGATCAGAAATGCATCTGAACTCAGATGGATCCATTTGTGCCCTTCCCTCTTCACACGCTCCCCCTGCAAAGAGCAGCTGATGCAAAATAAAACAGCCTGCTTGATGCACCATCTACAATTGGGTTGCTGGGCAGGGGGCATTTTGGCAGCTTTCTGTTATAAAAGGAAATGTTTAAGCAATAAAACTCTCTCTAATTTGTAGGTAAATTTAGTGCTTTAAAAGCTGCCAGATACAGTTCTGAGAACTAAGAGTCTGCATGGAAATACACAACACATACAGAATATCAACTGGCAGTACATCCTGCCCTTTCTGATGCAGTTCAGAAGCTCAGTTAGTGCAGGATTAGCTAGCTATGTTCCTGATGTGACAGGGTAATTCAGTCTCTTCTCCTCTCTCACTTCCCGACTGCTCAGCCAAGTCTGGGAACAGCGTTAGTTTGCCTCTAGGAATAGTGTGGATGTGCTCTTTTCTCTGACTTTTACAGTAGGTCGCAGAAAAGCCTTTATTATTCTTACTTATATCAGAGTAATCTTCAGAGAAAACAAGCTAATTTATGGTTTCCTGTGGTTTTAGTTAGCGGAGTTTCAACATGTTTGTTCTGGGAGGGATAGTAGTCACCAGAAAAGCTTCTTTCTCCTGAGGTATAGTTTCTGTTTCCCAGCAGAAATTTGAGAGTACCTTTAGTCATCTGCACGGATACGTTCTAAGCACCTTTCTTCTGATGGAGACTGAATTAAATGAGGGACTCTTTACATCTCGGTAACAATGCAATGTAGCCCTCCCATGTGATTTCCCATCTAAATGCTACTGTTTAGAAATTTGTATTAAAGTGGCAATGCTGTTCAGAGAAGACACATAAGCAGAAAAAAGAATATTCCTCTGAGTACTTTGTCATAAGTCTTTTGTTTCCCTTCCAGGGAAACAGATCTTATTTAAAGAATGATGACTCTAATCTCCCAATATTATGGTTTTATAAAATTAATTTTGTGATCCATTTTCTTACCTGTGACTTCAACCAGTGGTTAAATCAGAAATTACGGAGTCTTGGATCTAGCAGCTGGCATGACGGGCATTGCCTTCCCTGTCCTCAGAGGACTGCAAAATGTTATGATGACAATCTGGCCTAGTTTGCATAACTGGTCTTTGTGCTGTGTTCAGTTATTCTAATGCAGTATATTCAGAAAGACTTTCTCACTCTGTCTCTGCATGCTACATACATTCATACTCATATAAATAAAAATACTGTGTATGTATGTGTGCATGTATACACCTCTATGCATACAAAGAAAACTTTGACAGAATATCATAGATTTCCCCTGCCTATATGTTATTTTTCTTCTAACATTATAAAGACCCTGGAGGGCTCTAATATGATCTATAGAATGTTGTCTGAGTATTAAGCAGATCTTATTTCTTTGGTTGTCTTGACAGCATTGGTCTTCATTAATGTTGCCAACGTCTTTCCTGACACATTACTCTATAATAATTTTTCATTGCTATTACCTGTTATTGGAATTAAATTTCTTTCAGTGCAAGTCTGGCTAAAGTGAACTCAGAAAATCTGCTTGAGTGGAAGGCTGTGCTCCCACCCAGCTTTACCCGAGCTTTCTGTGGTTAAGCCTAATACTTAACAAGGCTGGGGCAGGAGCGTGGGTGACTTTCCTGGAAGCACCTAATCTTTCATCACCATATAGCCCTGTGCATACATGTCTCATTGGCACAGCACATACCAGCTAACGTGCTTGAAATCAACAGCTTTTTTCCTTTGTGTTTTTTCTTTGCTATGAAATCTATGACTTTATAAAGTCCTACACAGCAGTCATGGGCAGTATCACATTTGATAAATCTGCAGTATCTCTCATCAAGGATCAAGGGGAATGATGCTTGCTATCAATTGCTCGCCATGTTCTCTGCAACAAAAGTTAACCGCATTAGAACTGATTACCTTGGCTCTGTCAAAACTATCTGAACACTGAAAAGTGTAAGGGTCCTGGTGTGAATTAATTAAAAAGTGATTAGTAAGTAGATAATCAATACAGGCTGCTGCCTGAAACTATAGTATATGTTGATTTATGTTACATGCTAAACTGAAAATAACATGGAAGAATAGATTTTTTTTTTTTTAACAGGGTTGTTAAGTCATGTGCATCTATAAAAGGAAGCCAGACTTGAGCAGGGATGTCTATTTGGTTAACATTATTAAATGGAATCTTTTAATACCTCCAGGTTATGCACAGCATTCATCCATTCACTTAATGTCAAAGTAGTTGGAGCTTTCAATTTTTGTATAAATAATCCTCAGCAATCAGCAAGGCTTTTAGATGTCAGCAAAGGAGAAAATCACAAATCTGTTCCGTGTACTGCAATATAATAATTGTGATTATAATAATAATAATAATGGAAATAAGCAACAAAGAAAAGCAAGGCTGTATTGCCATCTTGGGGTTTCTGATGACAAAACAGGTCTTCTAGTTTTGTTATCAAAATTTAGCCAAACAGTTAAATACATCACATTCTCTCATATGAAAAAAAATCTAAATTTTAACATTGTAGAAGCAGGCAGACAGCACTGTACAAGTAGGTGAACAGAACTTTCAGTCTGCAGTAGTTCACATGCACGTACCAGTGTCTTAGTATTTAAATCTATGCATACTAGCACTTGGGCATATTTTTTGCAGGAAAGTCAGATTTAGTGCGTACAGCTGTGGGCACTTGCTGTTAAGCCTTTATGGTGCTTGGGGATTTAAACTCTAATTCAGGCAGAGATTTAGCTCCTGTTAAACATCAAAGCTGGCAAACATGCTTACATTTTAGCCAGCGTTGCCTCTACCACCTAGAAAATGCACAGAGAAGTGAACACAGAGAAAACTCCAGGAATGAGTGTAATACTGAGATTTTGTTCATTTATCTTGAGGGCTTTTTTTGCCAACATTTAGATGCTTATTGGAGGAAAAATCCCATATTTTGGCTCTCAAGTACACCTTTCCTATTACCGAAACAATTTTCATGTGGAGGAAAGGACACTGGTTTGGCAATATCTGAGAGACTTCACCTTGGCATCTGGGACATTAGGGAAATACAGCAACAGCAAGAAACCTTCCTCTGGACAAAATATCATCTATCTAGCTGTAGAGAACACACTAATTGAATAGAAAGGGCTACACCAGCATGAAGGTCCACTACTATGTGTGCTTGTGTAGTCTCTGTTTTTTTACCTCGATATATAGCTGGATCCACTGCTGCTCTTGTGCCCTCACATAGGCAAGCCTAATGTCCTTCCCTGCCGACCCTGCTTCTGTTTCTCTACCTCAGGACACAGGTCGTTAAGAACTGCCTGCTTTTTTAGGGCCAGGATGTCCACAAGAGGTCTGCACTCTCTCTGTCCTCCTCAGAAAATAACCTGAAACAGCAAAAGACCTCAGCATTTCTTGCTCTCAGTTAGAGAGCAATGCTGTCTGCAGCGATCAGCATTTTGCTCC